TGGCTGTGGCCGGGGGGGCTGAGCCGTGCAGCGTCTGGCTTAGCGGGTGATGAATGGACGTGGCTGCGGGGCCTGGCAGCGCGGAGCTGGGCGCTTTCCATTTTTAGTCAGTTGTCTCCTGCAGCTCTTGCTCCAGGCTTCCTTGCTCCCGCCCGCTCCCTGTCCCAGCCCCAGGTCCGCAGCGCTGTGCTGTGTCAGGCTTCCCGGTCCCATCCAGCTGCTGAGCTGTGAAACCACCAACGTTTCCTCGTCCCTGCCCCAGGGAAAGGATCTCCTCGCTGCGGGAGGTCTGCTGCTTGCCCTGGCATCCTCCCGGCTCTGTGGCCCTGACCTGATGAGACCTGATGACTCTTCGCCTTCACGCCGTCCCCTGAGTTCTGTTGCCTCGTGGGGCTGGGGCCGCAGGCTGGGGGCCCTAGTGGTACCTGTCCTGGGGGTGCCTCTCCCCTGCCTCAGTTGTGGGTTCGCCCCATGCCCACATTTCCTGAGAGCTGGAGCGTTTCTTTGAAGGCAGCTGCCGGGCTGTCCCCAGCACGTGCTCGGGCCCGGGGACTTCTGAAGGGGATCGCTCGCAGGGGCTGCCTGTCTGTGGGCAGAGGGGGAAGCTGCCTGGGAGGGAGGTGGGCCTGTGCTCCAGGCTGAAGGACAGGCAGATGCGTTGGTCTGTGGGCAGCGGCTTCGGGCCCTGACATGCCCTGCAGAGCTTGGCGGGGCCTTTATCTCTGCCCTTGCTGTGACAGCGAGGCGCCAGGTGAGGTGATTGATAGCTTCTCTCAGATGAAGGGCTGGGGGTGCATTTCCACGTGAGGGGTCTGGGCAGGTATGTGAGCCTGTTTCTGACTGCTCCTGCCTGGAGAGAGGCTGGCCGGACTCAAGGCAGCAGATTTGCTCACGGTTGCTCCTCTGTATGAGGGCACGGTCAGGTGGGCCAGCCGCCGTCGCCTTGACCAGAGCCACGTCCTGGCTGCGCCCCTCTAGGCACAAGACCCTCTTGTATGTTGGCACGGCTGCCCTGCTCCGCTCCGGCTGGGCTTTCAGAGGGGCGCCATCCGCCAGTCCCTTGGCATGCTGCTTGGCTCTTGTTGGCACCGGCGCCTGTGCAGACATGAGCTGTATCTCCACGGGCAGGAGAGCACGTGGGACTGCTTTGAGCTCTGCGGGGCAGCGCGGGGGCAATGGTGTTGTGCCACCAGAGCTTTGCCTTGCAGGGCTACAGGGCAATTGAGGCAACTGCTGTGGAGCCATCAGCAGTCCTGTCAGCTGAGGCAAGTGCTGCCCCTGCATGGGTGCTGAGCCCGCCTGTGCCCCCCAGCGGGGGTGAGGTTGCGCTCCCCTTCGCCATGTGTCAGGTAGAGTAGCGCCTGAAGTGTCGTGCTGCGCATCGTGATGTGTCTGCCTCGGGCTTGCTGTCCTGCTGCTTGTGCAGGGCAGGAGGCAATGCCATCGCAACAGCTTGGCAGCGTCGGATGCCTCCTGCCCCTCGTGCCCAGCTTTCAGGCCCTCCAGCAGAGGCTGGGGTTGCTTTCGCTTGCCCACGCTTCGTGATGGGGCCTTGGTGGTCCTGGCCTGGAGTTAATTTTAATCTTCTCCTCTACAACGGGGCTTGGCACAAAGTGACCTGGTGCCTCCAAGTGAAGGCTGTGGGGACTGTGTGGCTGAAGAAAATTGTGCAAGGCAAGGGCCTGGAAGCAGAGCGCATTGGCCCTCATGGGCAGGGGCTTTCCCGCTGGCCTGGGGAGGGCAGCTTGGCTCAGGTACATGGGGCAAATCCCATGGGGAGGAGACGGTGTCACCAGTGATCCTGTCCCAGGTGGGGAGACTCCGTTCTGTTGGTGACGGTGGCGCCTGGTAGGGTCCAGACTGGCTGCCTCGGGCACACATGCTGGTCTCCAGCTGGGGAGCGGTGCCGCTGCGGACCGCATTTGACCAGAGCAGGAGGGGCTGCTGTCCTGCAAAGCCCTGGGCCTCCCGGCAGATGGGCAGTAAGCCTGACCCTGTGGGCAGCTTTTGCTCTTGTTTGGGCTGGGGTTGGGTTCCTGCGCTCAGTGCTGATGAAGTGGCCTGTGTGGGACTGGAGGCTGCTCCGTGCTGGTCCTGGCAAGGCTGTGGCCTGCCGGGGCTGCCTGGGTCATGTGCTGCTGAGCTCCCTCCCCGGGTCAGAAATGCTACCCTGGGAAACAGGAAGGAGTGAGTCCTGTGTTGGAAGCAGCTCCGTGTCTCGTGCTTGGGGTCCGGGGACAGCTCGGCCAGAGACCTCTGTGGTCTCGGTGCCCCGCTACGTGCTCGGGAGCCGGCCAGCGCAGAGGAGCAAGGAGGAGGTGAGGGGCCAGGACTGCCATGCTTGCAGGGAGCCTCGTCAGGCCAGACCACCCCAGTAGCCATCTGAGCCCCTGGTGCTTGCCCCTTTTGAGCCATTTGTAGCTGCCAGCTCGGCAGGAGGGACGTTCCCAGCCAGTGCCCTGACGCCATGAGAGGTATTAATAACCACTTGTCGTGGTGAGCCAATTCCAACCTGGCCAAGTTCCCACTGGGTCTCAGTGGGAGCCGAAGCCAGCGTGCTGCACCCGACTCGTACCTGGTGCATTGGCACATCTCCTGGGAGGGAAGGGCGGGCTCCAGGACACTGGTGGGTGCTGCACCCAGCATTGATTGGAGTGACTTGCCCAGAGTCGCAGTGGGGAGCCATGTCAGGGTAGGGCCCAGGCCGGCAGGCTCTTCCTCCAAGGTCTGCACTGCTGCACGTCCGTCCCCTCCCTCCCCCAGCCCCGCTGGGGGCACGTCTAGGGCAGGGTTGGCCTGGGAGCAGTCACTGGCCGAGAAGATGCAGCTCTGCAGCACCAGTGCGTGTGCCTGGGCACGTTGCAGAGCAGAGCCCTCACTCCCATCCTCCCTGGTCCTGCTGCTGAGCTGCCCCCAGAGGCTTTGGGTACCAGCGAAAGCTACTGCTGATGGGGCTGGCCTCGTGTGGGTGTTGGAGCGCTAATCCCCAGACAACAGGCCGATTGTGCCCAGAGGAGAGGGCATGGGGTGGAGCACATAACTTCAGCGCCTCCCCGTGCCTTGGCTGTCCTGGGGGAGGGGAGACCATGGGACAGCAAGGGGACGCAGGCCCAAAAGGGGAAGTGCCATGCTGCTGCTGCGAGGAGGAAGGGCCCACGACTGCAGACTGCACTGTGCTGCTCTGCTGTCACGGGCGCGCGGGGTGTCGGGGCAGCGCCCCTGCCTGCCGCAGGCAGCTTGTGCTGTGGGGAGCCCGGCGGGTCCCGCCGCGCGCTCGGGGTGGGCCGTGCTTGCAGAAGGGAAGGCTGAGACTGTTCCTCCTGTTGCAGCTCTCAGATCTCCTGCCCCGGCTGGAGCGCGGGGTGAGGCCCTGCCGCGGCTGGCGGCTGCCCGACGACCGCTGCGGCAGGCCGGGCCTTGGCCCGTGGATGTGCCGGCAGGATGTCGGGATGCCTGGGCCATGGCTTCATCCCGCTGCTAATTCCATATTTGGTAGCAGCCACTGTTTACTCCCTTCTCTCGCTCCTGTTCTCCTTGGGGGGAGGGGACATATTTTCGGAGTCTTTAACATGGTGGCTGGAATCTGCTGGTTTCCTGATAAAGGGTCTGGAAGGGCCTGGGAGGGTGAGACGGACTCGGAGAGGGCTGTGGCACCGTGCAGCACAGAGAGACGGGGTCCTGCCTGTGGGACAGCTTCGCCCCTGCCCCTGGTGTAACCAAGGTCTCCCCCCCCCCCCCGCCCCATGTGAGCCTGTCCACTGTGGGGGGAGCAGGGTGGCCCCCAGGGCCGGGGCACACCATGTTCCCTTCCAGGTCAGGGGTCATGCGTGGCAGGGCCTGCAGCCCAAGCCTCTGGGCAGGATGTGGCTCAGCGTGGCTGGCCTCTCTCTGCGGTGCTGCTGGTGCCCGGGGGCAGTCCTGACCTGCCCCATGCTGTCGGAGCCCCTGTCTGAAACTGGAGCCAGCCGGCCTGCCTTTTCCCCCCAGCAGCAGTGCTGGGAGTGCTGCTCCTTGGCCCTGGCAGTCCCCAGCCCTCCACACTGAAGTGGAAGCAGTAGCCAGCTGCCTGGTGCGCTGCTGAAGGGGAAACCTCCAAGGCTGTCGCTTCCCTGCATCTGGCAGCCCCGTGGCTCTTCCACAGGCCTCCCGAGGAGCAGGAGGAAGTGCAGACTTCCGCGTTTTCGAGACCTCGGGTGGCTGGAGCCCAGAGCGGCCATGAGCCGTGTGAGCACAGCCATGCGTGGCTCTTGCACTGCCAGGGAAAGGCGAGATGGGAAGCAGAACCAGGCAGGTCCCCGATGGACAAGAAACGCGGAGCTCAGTGGTGAGGACGACTGCTGTGGTCACCTGCGAGGGACGACATGGGTTCTCACTCCCTTGGCATCCAACCACTGGCTTTTGGAGCGGGCTTTAGGCCCGCGGTCCTCTGCCTTCCTAGGCTCGGAGCTCCCTAGGAAATGCCAGCTCTGCTTTTCCTTCATTTCTCGACCACAGAAAAACCCCAATGGATCAGAGGATTTCTGTTTGAGCTCTTTGCACCTGGCCATCCGAGTAGTGTCCGGCACCCTTGAGAGGCTCTCAAGGCACCTCGGGATGCTGCATCTCCCTGGGTGAGGACCATGGCTGTTGGCCAAACAGTTGTCAGGCTCAATGCAGGGGCCTGGCTGAGAACAAGCAGCCTGTGACATTCAGGAGGCTGGACTAGTGACATAATGGCTCCTTCGGGCCTTAGGTCTGTATGCGGTTGCAGGGACTTGAGGCAGCGGCTCCTGGCATCAGCAGAGGGCTGAGCTGGGCACTTTGCTGGGCACTTGTGGATGAGAGGGAAGGGGAGCAGCCGTGTGCTGCGTGGTCGGCGCACGGCCTGTGCGGTCACTGTTGCTGTCAGAGGTACAGGCTTCCCGGGGAATAGCTCCTGCCTGTTGCCAGCCCTGCCCATCTGCCGTGCTGGTCTTGCAGTGTGATGCTGCAGTCGCTCTGCATGCCCTGGTCCCAAAACATGGCATAGGCGCAGCGCTGGGCTCCCAGGTGTGAGATGCCCCGGTGCCGCCCTCCCAGTTGCAAGGCTGTTTTTGCCATCCAGCTCCTGGCGGCAGCTGATTCCATGACGCCTCAGGCCCCCGAGGCTCGCCTCAGCCTTGGGAGCCCTGCGCTGCCCCTCACCAGGGCTTCGCGCCAGCCATCCAGCCTGCTCGCTTCTCATTTTGGTCCCGTTAGTCCAGTGTCGCGGGCTTCTGTGCTCTGGTCCCTCTGCTTGGGGATGGGCAGCGCTGCTGGGGGCTCCACACCCGGGGAGAGGGGTGGGAAGCTGCCTCCCTGGAGCAGCCCGTCATTATCTGTCTCCCTGTCGTCTCTGGTTCCAACCACAAATAACGGCGGAGCAGCTGCTGGAATGTGAGCCCGTCAGCACAGGACAGGCGCCCTGGCCCCTCGCCGGACCGGGCCAGGCAGGAGGTGTCTGCAGGACGCGGGGGCTGGCGCTGTGGCTGCGGAGCGGCTCTGAGGTGCTCCTCGAGGGTCTGAGCACACTCAGGAGCAACAGCCGGAGGGGTGGGATGTGGAGCTGCTGCTCATGCTGCGCTAGTGCCAGGCGGGTGGATGAGCAGCTCGGGATGGTGGTGGCAGGGGTTGAGCTGTCCCACTCCCCAAATCCTCCTCCTGTCCATTTGTTCCCTGTGGGACTGTTAATGCAGCTTCTGCACCCACCAGCTACGATCGGCGGTTGGCCGGGCAGCTTGCCCCATGGGCCTAGCAAGGCCATCCTTGCCCGAAGACCTAGCCCAGTCTGTTGAGACCCAAAGACCGGGCGTGACAGGCAGTGACCTCAGGGTCTGTGTCCTTTCGGCGCAGGCTGCAGTCCACGTGCTGCTGCAGGGCTCAGGCGTGGACTGTCCTGGCTTCATTCGCACCTGGCTGGGATCGCATGGCCCCAGAGCTGGTGACCCTTTTCTTCCCTGCCAGGGGCAGGGGTCGGACTAGATGGCCCACTGAGGTCCCTTCCGACTCTGTGAATCTATGAAAGGCAGCACAAGAAATGATCCTGCCTGGGGCAGCCCCCCCAGGGCTTTGTCTCCTCTTCCAAGTCCCAGCCTAGTGGCTCATCCATCCTGTGGCCCTCTGGGCCTCAGGAGGAGGCATCTGCATCAGCTCCTCGCCACAGCCCACAAAAGGGCTGATGTGGGAGGCTGCGTCGGGCACAGCGCACGCGTCGACGCCAGGTAACTGGCAGAGCCAGCTTTAGCCAGCCGTAGGGTCCCTGGCTCTCGACATCTTTGCCTGAAGCTCAGGCACCTGTAGCCATACGCGCGTGACTGGGCTCAAGGTGAGGGCAACTGGGTGAGGTTTTGGGGCCTGCGCACCTCCCTCTGGGAGCTGTGGATGCAATGCCTTTGCCAGGGTGCGTGCGGGTCTGTGCTAACGGCGGGTGCCATGACTCCACTCGCAGTGCCGAGCTGGTTGCTGCCTGTAGCCATGTGCAGGTAGGAGAGCTGCTTGCAACGAGCGTGCTACCCCTGCGCCCCGTCCTCACCCTGCTGCCCCGCTGAAGCTGGGAGGACTGTTGCGGGGCCGCGTCTTGCCCGAGTCGGTCGGGGTTTGTATCCGGCTGCCTGGAACGTTGCCCTCCTCAGGAGTTGTTTATGCTCTAAGGATGAAGGAAAATGGGTATTTAATAAGCCTTTGTGGGAGGGGCGTGGGGCAGTTGGACAAACACTGTAGGCATGTCGTGTTCCCTTTCCCCCAGAGCCGTCCCAGCCCTCATGCTCTAGAGAGGAATTAAAGCATTCCTGTCTCGTCGCGTGGCTGTCAGCTCGTGCCCTGGAGCCCTGGGGGCTCTAGATGCCTTTCTTCCACATTGGGAAGCAGGCTCTGGACAGCCATGGGTAGAAGGCAGGAAACAGGCGGGTGGTAACACAGCGCGGCTTGATCTCTCAGGGCACGTGTGACCATTCCCCAGCCCCTCACCTTTGCTATTAGTGACGGTCACTGGTTCTGAGCTGTCTTCTAGCCCCCCAGGCATGTCTGAGCTGTAGTAAAAACAAGGACGTTCCCAGACCAAAGGTTTGTAACTGGACCAAATTGCCTGCGATTGGGAAGCGCTGCTGTGCCCCATCATTGTTACAACCTGCCCTGTGTCAAGCAAGAGAAGGCTGTCCTCTGTCTTCCCCCAGTGACCTCCCTGCTATTGCCTGACCTCTGCCATGGAGCTGGCAGTACCCTGCCCTCTGCCATCCTGCCCACTCTTCTTGGGGTCCTGCACGCTAAGGTGGCAGGTAGAAGATGCCTGCACCATCCCCAGAGGCCTCCTGGAAGGAAATGCAAGTGCGTCCCCTCTGCAGCGCTGTCCTCTGCCATGGAGCTGCCTCTGCCCCAGCTTCCCTTGCCAGGTAACTGCTGGGAAGGTGAGTGCAAGCTGCTGGGGGCAGCTTGGGGAGGGGACAGAGACTTCCCACCTGCAACTCTGACCTGCACCCAGGCCCCTGCCGTGAGCTATCTGTCTCTGCCTATCAACAAACTATCATCGACTGACTTCTTTTTTGGGGCACCCACCTTGTTACCAAGGATGGTGCAGATCTGCTAGGCAGAGGCAGAGCTCTGAATCCAGCTGTTCTGTCTTTCTTTGTCACATCCCTACAATTTCCTGCCCCGTGCGGTGCTATCAGCTGCGACCTGGGTTGCTGCACTGCAGACTCGGGGAAGAATTTCTGGGGCTTGCATTTTAATAGAGGCTCAAAAGAGCTAGGAGCAATTTTTGATTAGATCGGGTCAAATTTCCGGAAGACCTTGCTGGCAGGGTCATGAACTTGTACACTGTCGGGTCCCATGGAAACCTCTTCCTGTTGCAGGTTTCGTGCTACACTAGAGCTGCAGATGTGAAGGGACTCCTCCGCACTGTGGTCAGAGCTCTCCGTGCACAGGGTGCAGACGGTGGCTCACTGGGCATGGGGCTCTGTTCCCCTGTTCTGCTCTTCGCTTCCAGCCTGACTCCCTGTGGGGTCAGGGGCCCGTGCAGCCCCAAATGTCTGGGTTGGGGCAGGTGGGTTGCTTGAAGCAGACGTCCTGCTGGGTTGCAAGCACTGGTGGTTTTGCTGCCCCTCTGAACAGGTGGTTCCAGGGGTGGTAGCTGACCATCAGTCTCACTCGCCTGGTCTCCAGCAGCTTCCGGCATCGCTTGGTGGCTACGTCCCCAGGGCTGTGTTCTGCTTTCACTTTTCGAGCAAGCAGCGAGCAGCTCCTGGTCACACCTGCGTGCGGTCTAGCTGCCTCTCGAGCGTGCAGCTTGTAGCTGTGTACAGGAAGGCACTTCTTCCTCCAAGCGCACTGCTGCGACATCTCACGCTCCACCAGCCATGTCGAGCAAAAGTCACCGCTGACACTTCTTGTTCTCGACTCGCTGTCCTGTTGCTGGCTGCGTGGCAGGGGCCCGTGGGGAGGGCGCACTGATCTTGCCTTTTCTCTGCATCTGATGCTGAAGAGGTGCTTTCTGCTTTC